TATAATATAAGCAATAATTAAATTATAAATTTATTTTAAAAAATTTATATTATAAAATGTATATTATTTGGCTTAAGATTTACATTATTTAGTCATATATTATTATTTACGATACAAAATTATTAACTTGTATTGTAACATTTCTATATACATCTTTCTCTTTAAGAAATTTTTAAAAGCTTACTTCTTTACTTCAACACAGAGATATTTAGTTACATAAGACTTATCCATCTTGTTTCTGAATGTCGTAAATATGACACTCGGACTTGGGAGCAAAAACAATCTTCTTGAATGCTGTACACGTAACATGAGTATAAAGGGACGAAATCGGGAAGACATCAGCGAAATCTCATCACGTATAGTTTTGCGATTCTAACAGTCGGAATTTCTAAACCATTTCGTCTGTCAAGCTGTGCAACGTAGGTTTAAGATGGCTGTAAAGTATTACATCATAAGTGGCGTTGATCCAATCCGTTTAGATTCATATTTATAAAACATACATCGTATTTTGTTTTTATTACGTTCAACAGGTACGGTGCGCGCAATTAGACGAATCCTTAATGGAAACAGATACGTAATCTGTTGAAATGATCTAATGGAATCAATTATGTAAGTTAGTAAAATTAAATTCGTGAATGATTACAAGTAGTGAAATTAAAAGCAAAATCAATTTAAGGCTTGTATCGATTGCAGTCAATGTGTCAAACAACGTCACAATCATCACAGAATCAGCTCAGTCTCAACTTCGATCGCCATTCTTTTCCGCCGGAAGCAGTGTGCGAGGTTCGGCAATGGTTTGTTTTTGCAGTTCTTGACCCATCCATCCCAAGCCTTGAACCCATGCTGATCGAATATCTTCTTAGCACACACGATGTCTTCCTGTATATCGTCACTCAGGTAGTCCTCGCAGCGCTTATCGCAGTTGCCACCTCTATGCCCTCTGGTGCACCACTCGGCACTGTTGATCTGAAGGATACCATAAGAATAGCTGGAACCTCTCTTTGGACCAGTTACTAGATGCGTGTTCATCCCACTTTCGTATTTCATTAGACAGACCCAGTTGCTGATGAAGGACCTACTGATTCTGGCTATCACTAACTGCCTTGCAGCCTCGCATTGTGTGTATATCTTTCCTTCCACCGGCGAATGTACAGTTACGATCATCAGAATGAACACGATCCACAAACCTATCATTTTTTAACGTGAATGAATATTTGCCGAGACTATTTGATAAGTATTAGAGTCGTCTTTCTCGATTACTTGAATTACTAATTGAACGGATGCAATCAACTCGAGCAATCAACTTGCGAGAAGAAATAATCGGCTGCTTTATGTTGTTCTTGAAGAATTATTAAATTGTAGGATAATTTCATGATATCTCAATGTATACTTTGTGATCTTATAGACATACTTTTAATATCTAGGAAAATATTAAAAATCGAAGATATTCTTCACTGTCCAGCATTTTTCTATTAATAAATCAGCACTTTAATAATTTTAATTGTTGTTTGTGTTACCGCTTCTGATAAGGAATTATGCTTGCGTAACACCCGGCTCCGAATGTTTATAATTATCCGCTTCTCCATTCGTAAAACTGAGATAAATTAATCTCACGTTTTTTTCCGGTGCGTAATATGACACAAGGTGTTGACAACGATTGCACTGAGGATTCACGCGGAAATCCGTCTTATAAACGCGATGTCTGTCGCTAATATCGCGGATAATCGCAGATGACCTTGAGCTTGAGCGATATACGCTATTTATTAACGCTAATAATAAAAAATACAAGCCGCGATAAAACCACTTTTCGCTTTCCGCTGTTGCGCATTACATCACGATCTCGCCCCACTTCAGCTTATTATTGCAAATATCCCATGGCTTTTACAAGAATTTTGTATCTGACATTCTCGAAGAACACATTAACACTTTTTAAAACAAACATAAGATAATTAGAATCAAAGATGCGTTCCGGTGCTATTAACCTCTACAATAAAAACAACGTAGTCTCTTCTCAGTGAAATTTTACATTACTTAGAATTCTTGGATTCTTTAACTTATGAAGATAATTGGCGAATACAGATAGCTCACAAAGAAGTTCATTATACAACCCATAAAAATTAAAAATATGAGAAATATGAATGTGACATCAAATAATGCATACAATATTTTGTATCTTGTTATAGCATAAATTACATTTTTCAGAAAAAAAGAGGAGAAATAATTTCTAATTTTATATTAATATTATTAATAAATGTAATATATTATTTTTTTTATAAGTGTGTGGAAAAAACAGCTATCGCTACGTCAACGCATATCAAGATATATGGTAGTTTTGCGCGAAGCGTCCGTGATCATTAAAATAAGGATTGAATAGTTATTGTGTAAAACATAATGTTGTTTTAACCTGTCACTACTTTTATAAAGCTAGATAGATTAAATGTTTTACACAATAATTATTTAATAATTATTTTGATAAGTAATATACTTTTGGCACATATTTTTTATCATCTTTTAAAAAAATAATTTGAAGGTAATATTTGTTTAGCGCAAAATGATCAGATGCAGCTTTCTAATATGTTGTAATTAACGCTTAGCGGAATATATTAGGTGTGGGAAAAAGTTCGTGGCGCTTTTTTAATGTCATCTAATGGGAAAAACGCCACGAACTTTTTCCCATACCTAATATTTTGTTTCACGCATGAATTTGGGAATAAAAGCAATCTTCCTATAAAAATAAAATCGGAAAGACATCGGCGAAATCTCATTATGTACAGTTATGTAATTCTAACAGATGGAATTTCTAAATCAATTTCGCGTATAGTGTCGTCTGTTAAGCATGAGTTTTAAACGGATGAGTCATAAGTAGCCTCTAAACAATTTAGATCCATATTTATAAAGCATACTAACATATTTTGTTTTTATTGTGTTCATTAAGCGTACGATGCGCACATTTAGGAAAATTCTTTAATAGAAAATATGTAAATCTGTTGGATTACAGTTTGATGAAATCGATTACATAAATTTCTAAAATTTAAGTTGTGAAAGATTACAAGAGATGCAAAAGACTTCATAGAAGCGAGAAAATTAAAAACAAAATTTATTCAAACTTCGTATCGATTACAATCAATGTGTCCAACAGCGTTACAATCATCCACTCATCACAAAATCGGATCGGTCTCAATCTCGACCATTCGTCTCCTACGTATACAGTTTGAAATGTCCGGTAGTGGTTTGTTCTTGCACTTTTTCATCCATCCATCCCAAGCCTTGAATCCGTCCTGATAGACGATTTTTTTGGCACACACAATATCGTCCTGTATATCATCGTTCAGGAAATCTTCACAGCGCTTATTACAATTGCCACCTGTACGTCCTCTGGCACACCACTTGTTACTGTTGATCTGAAGAATACCATAAGAATAGCTGGAGGCTGTTTTTGGACCAGTCATCAATGCAGTGTTCATCCCACTTTCGCTTTCCATCAGACAGATCCAGTTGCTGAAGAAGGACCTACTGATTTTAGCTTTCTGTAGCTCTTTTATAATTTCACATCGCCCGAATATCTTCCCCTTCACCGGCGAATGGACAGTTAAGACCATCAAAACGAATATGATTACCAACGTTCCCCTCATTCTTTAATAGGAATGAATATTCGCTGTGAATTACTTAGTTTGTCTTTCTTGAATCACTAATTGAGTTTAATTGCTCTGATTAATCAAGCAACTAACTTGCGAGAAGAAATAATCCAACGATAATTTTATATTTTGAAGAATTATTCACTTGTTGGATAATGAAGTTTAAGCTTAAGTCTCAATACTTCGTAATCTTGTATATAATCCTGTAAACATTTACAATAAATGTTTAAGAAGATATTAAAAATTGATAAAGATATTTTTTATTCTCCGATGTAATAACGTTCGGCACTTTAATAACTTTAATCGTTGTTTGTCATTACCGCTTCTAATAAAGAACTATATTCGAATAATACCGACTGCTCAGAATATGTTTTATTACTCGCTTTTATGTTCGAAACTAAGGTAAATTGACGACTTCACGTTTTCTTTCCGAAGCGCAATATGATTCAAGGTGTTGACAACGATCGTACTGAGAAGTCATGTGGAATTACTGTCTTATAAATGCGTCGTCTGCTACTAATGCCGCGATTAAAATGACCTTGAGCTTGAGCGATATATTATTATCTACCCACGCCGTAATGAAATTCAAGCCGATAAGACCAATTCTTTGCTTTTACACGTCATCGCGATTTTTTTTTTTTTTTCGTTTCGCCTTATTACTATAAATGGCTTCCACAAGTAGAAAATTTCATATCTAATAAAAATAGTATTCTCGAAGAGATCATTCTCGAAGAGAATGCTCTCTAAGAATATAACAAATATAAGATAATAGAATCGAAGATTTTCTGAACTATTGACCTCTTCGATAAAAACAACAGTCCCTTTTCAGTGAAATTCGGCACATACGTGAAAGTCTTGAGATTCTTAGATCACGAAGACATCATCACTAAAGATACAGCTTAGAGAAGCTTATTTTACAATCCATAAAAATTAAAGATACAAAAATCAGAATATGAAATTAGATATTTCATATTTTATTTTTTTTATAATTAAATCAAAGAAAGAGAAGAAATATTTTCTAACTTTATATTACAATTATTAATCAATGCGATACATTATGTTTTATAAACTTGGAAAAAAACCGTTATTATTGCTGTACACGTAATTTGTTTATCGCGAAATGATCAGATATGTCATTCTAATATAATTAACACTTAGCAGAACATTTTATTTCGCGCAATGATGTAATAAGTAATATTATATAATATTTGTTGTCTATAATTTAATAACAATATTAGTTCTGAAGACTCGTGGTGCAATATAAGGAAACATGGCGTTATTCTTCCACGAAATAATATTTTAAGTTATTAAATCGTCAAACAAAATGTATATTACAAATTATCGCTGCTACATTTCTAATTATATTTGTCTTCCTTTCGTTGCGTCAAACGTCAAACGAAAGTTCGATAAGTTATCATATCTAGCACGAGTTATTAAATCGATTTATTTCTCGGTTTTCATAACACAGCAGTTATTATTTTTAATTAAAGTTTGACCCGCTTTGCGTTTCAGATTACAGAGTTTCCCAGAAACCAATCTCCAATCTTTTCAAATCGAATTCGATGAATGATTGATTTTTAATCACTTATGGCATTTACTTTAAATATTGATAAGAAAAAAAATTATAATAATATATTGAGGCCAAACAGAGAGAGAGAATTAACTGATTCCATTATTTCATACATATTCAGAAAGATTTGTTTAGAATACATCACAATAAGAATATTAAAATCTATAATGGTTGAAGATCAGTTAGATCTTTAATACTTAAATAATTCAATATGAATTATATATATATATA